AAACCGGTCGTAAGTCGAGGACTACCCAACCGGTCGTAAGTCGAGGACTTTCCCTGCCCGGGAGTGCCGCGCATGCGTGGTTCCGCCCCCTGCACCGGCCGAGGCGTAGCTGGCAAGCGGCAGAGACGGAGCAGGCCGACCACCAGCTGGCCCAGCCCAAGGGAGGTAAGGCACCCGCCGGAAAAGGGGAAAAAAATGGGCAAAAAAAATGGTGGACAGCCTTGCTTGGCGACCCCCATGAAATGGTCGATCGACCCCAAATGGGGTCCCGACCCACAGGTTGAGAACCACTGGTCTAAATGACCTCTTCCAAATCTCATTCAATTATTTTAACTATTGTTATTGTGAGTTAAATGTACAATAAATTTAGTTTACACCCTTGCTCCAAACATTTTTCTCCCCTAATGCTGCTCTTAGTCTTAGCAAACACTTCATCAGTTAAACAAGATCTCAATTCAAAACAGGCAAGGATACATCAACTACATTTAAAGTCCAGAGAATTTAAAGAAATTCCAAATACTTTTCGTCTGTAATTTAGTAATGATTTAATTGGTCAAATAATCAAAACCTTTTTTGGCTAACAAATCCTAAACCATGCTTGCAAATAAATCCACAAAATGTATTGAGCCTATTAAAAAAAGCACTAGCCTATGCATATAAGCATATAAAGGGAGAAACTTATTGGCAGATAAGTGGCAGATTCTTTGAATAACTAAAGCACCTTTGTAGATTCCCAGTGTGAACCAGCCATTTCAAGACTGAGTGAATCTATTTCAAGGAGGCTGAGATTTTATAAGGTTTCATATGCATGCTTACAAAACCTTCCACTGGGACAATTATCTTGACAGAAGTATCCTCTGACATGCATACTTATGAAGACCTCGCGAAAGGGGAAGAAGCTGAGGCTGCATTTTGCGGCAGATATGGAGAAGTGCTTTACTTAGGAAGGGCTGGAACAGTCCTAATACTTGTAGTAAGTTCTTGTGACACATGGAAAAAGAAACAATTCCCTTTTCCACCCACAGATGCTTCCTGTTTGCTTCTCTAAATGGAATCTTTATGTATTCAAGTTTTAATAATGTAGCTACTTACAAGACACGAGATTAAATCTGCCATCTTGAATTTCTCAACCTAACCTCAGGCAGGGTAACTAATAAAATGAGCATGGCAAAGTTTCATAGGGTTTCCTAGTTTCAAAGTTAGCACATCAGAGGGTATTCAATCCAGAAACTGTTTACCAGTCATAAAGTTTCCCACAGAGAGGGGGAGAGAAAGAGAAACATCCTGCCAAATAAGGAAGCACAACTACAGATGGCACTAGTGCAGTCCAAGAAAGATACTATCATATCAGAATCCTGCCAAGATTATGCAATTGCATTACTTTCGCCCAAAATTCATATGTGTCCTTCTACTAAAGTTCCAGTAAAGACTTGGCTAGGATAGGCCCTAGCATTACAGCACATAGCAGAATCATAGAAAGGGAGTTTCTTGGGAATTTGTCTTGACTTATGCAGGCCAAGACTATCTTAGCATTGCAGGCCTATATGCATGATTCCATTTTTTCCCATTTTTTTAAATGATTAGAAAGCTTTTGAAAATGCATTCATATACAGTACTTCCTCATATATAAAGTGTTTTATTTGTTTATTTACTGCTGAGACTTCTAAACACCTTTGGTCTTACAAATCTAAACTCTTTACATAAGGTAATGGAACATCAGTAAGTAAAAAAATATAATGACTAGCAACACCCATAAATGTTGAATAATCCTGTATTCCACACAGCATTCTCCTCATCTGAAAACCTGTGGGAAACCTCCTTCCTCCTTTAAACATTAAACCCTTCAGTCCCCAAAAGATCAGCAACAAAGCAATGTTTTAACTATTTTTTACTTCTTAAAAAACTTTAAAGGCTTGTGGCCAACTTCATTTTATGTAGCAAGCTGATCCAAACAACCCTACCAAAGAATGTTCATTTCTGGGTCCTTCCTATTATATCTACCAGGATGGAGATTCTTAGTGTGTCTCTCGGCTGGAATTACTGGGTGTCTTGCAAGTTACCCAGATCCCAAGCTATTTAGGTTGTTATAATTATATCTAGCATCTTGAATAGCACCCAGAAGCAAACTGATAATCATTGTGTCTCCTCCAGAGAAGTGGTATGTGAGTATAACAGTGCTCGTCAATTTCCAAGCAAGTTGCTGCATTTTGTACCAGATGAAGCTTTTGAATGATCTTCAAGACAGCCTAATTAGAGGTACTTATTATAGTCCAGGCATGAGGTGACAATGGTTTACAGGATCATATTATGTGCCCCCAAAATTTTGGGGAAGTTTATAGCTGCTGCAGCAGCCAATGCTGAGCCAAACCTCTCAAGGTCATGATTCCCATTATTATTTATTCTAGGAAGAACCCAGATTCTGAACTTGTTTTTTCAGGAGGTGCACAGCTCAATTTGGAATTATCCTGGGGTCAATCAGCTTCTAAATAGCCAGATATTCTCTATTCCAGGGATTAAACATGACCTTGTTTTCTCTACCTAGACTCCAATATCTTTCAAGGACCAGGTCAAGACTTCTACCACATCTCCTCCACCTCCCCTGGGTGCAGAAATACAACTGGATATCATGAACCTAGTGATACTGCAACCCACACTGGCTGATGATGTCTTCTAGAAATTTCAGGAAAATTCAAAATAGAGAGGATCAAGCTCTGGATAGTGGAATCATCCACACAAAAAAGAACAGAATCAAGCCGACACAATCTCAAAAATGCTTTTTCAAAAGACAACTGGATTGTTTTTTCCTTGAGGAAGAAGAAAACATTTCCCTTCTCATCCAAGAAGCTTCATCAGTTTTGACAGGATGGTGGGGGCAATGGAAGGATTAGTTCTGATAGGATTTGGGGGGGTGGTGTTGGAAGGATATTTCTTTGCAGTCATCCAGTCGTTAGCATTCTCCATGAGAGCTCTTGAGGCCATTTGTGGGTTTATCTGTGCCCTTAGGATCACTTGTATCAGAGTGCAAATGGGGTGGAATCTTCTTGGAATTGCTGAAAGAACTGCATTATAGACAGGAGATAGATGGTGTTTTATCCCTCTCTCTCTGTTCAGTGAGGGCTGCTCAATGTTAACATCAATGGCCTCTTTTGCCTCTCTTTCAAACTAATGGTCCTGTCTCTCCAGAATGTGGAGTTTGTTATTCTGGACCAGTTAGAGCTTCTGAGTTGTCTTTTAAGAGTAGCTCCATACAGAGTACATTGCAGTAGCTGAGCAGTGAAGTGACATAGTTGTAAGTGACAGAAGGTTTGATTGATATACAAAAGGGTGCACCAAATGGACCCATGAAAGACCCTTTGGGCCATAGCTACCACTCATTCTTTGCATTAGCAAATAGTGATGGGCTTGCCTCTGCTTGCCCATATTGCATCCGTTTTCTAATTTGTACTGACTGCCAATGTGTTTCTGTATATGATTGGGCCTGGCTATCTGAGGGACTGCCTATCTCTTGTGGTTTCTTCCCATCCAGGACAATCTGGCAGAGTGGGTGTACTCTGGGTCCCCGTGTGTACCCAATATCATCTTTTGGGACTCAGGAAGCACAATTTCCCTATAGTAGAGCCTGCCCTCTAGAATGAGGTCCCCCATAAGATCATTCCAAAAGGTTTGAAAACCTGCCTATTCTTGTAGGCTTTGAGGTAGATTGCATGGGATCCTCTGTCTGTGATGTTTTTTGTTTTGGTCTGTTATCTGTGTTGTTTATCTATGAAAATTCTCAATCATCCAGCTCATGGTTGTCCCAAGAGTGCTTTTCAAAAGACAACTGGACTTCCTTGGGTTTTTTTCTTGATTTCTTGAAGAAGCTTCTTGGATGAGAAGTGAAATGTTTTTGATGAAAAAACAACAACAGGAAAGTCCAGTTGCCTTTTGAAAAGCACCTTTGGGAGTACTGTCTGAGTTCCCTTCTTGTACTTATTTTTGTATTTTGTTCCCATCTACTTTGTTGTAGGTTTTTTTAAATGTTGCTCTTTATTTTTTTTGGGGGGGGGAGCTTCCCCAGAGTTATTTGGAATTGGACAGCATACAAATTGAATAAATAAAAATAAACAATTGACATTTGTACCAGAAACCTCTGATAGAAAACAGCAAAAAGAAGCAACAACATTGCAGTGAGTCATATACCCTTACCTGATTCACATACTATACTTCCTGGTTTCAGCTCAAGCATCATGGTGATTAAAGAGATATCCGTTGAATACAGGATTTGAGTTCTGTGGCGTAAGTTCAGAGTCCATAACTCTGGGGTCGGATAAAGGATGTACACCCAGCCTCCTTTGCTGCAGGTTACTTTGGAACCATACTTCTTTCCAATGAGGTCAGTTGAGTGTCTAATAACACCATACTTAGTCTGAGTTTTACCACCCGGTTGCACTTTCACTGGAAACATGGATTCATGTCCCAAGAAGACAATGGCCGTGTCCCCTTCTTTTATCGTATCTCCATATTCAATAAAACTCATCACGATAATGTTGTCACCGGCAGGTTATTTGCAGCTAAGAAAAAAGGAAACACATTTCAGAATCTCTCCTTGCTTCTCCTTACGTTAGCCTATCATTCTTGTTTCTTCTTCACAACTATTCTTTCTCATTTAAGTTCCCCGTCTCCAACTCCAATAAAGCATCATTCTCTAATTCCAAGTAATCATCTGAAGGCAACCTGATATAGTTTCATTACCGGAGCGAAGCAGGCTGTGTTTGCTCAATGCCGGTCAAGGAGATCACTTTGGAAACCCATGAACATGTACATTCATTACTACAGTAGAAGAAAGGCAGGATAGAAATGAAGCATGAAATCCCTGCTTTTACTCAACTTCAATTCATGTTGTTCTTTCTTGCTGTCACCTGCTACCCACCCACCCACCTTATCCACTTGTAGCTCTAATTCCTGGAGAATCCGCTAGACTGCTTTCGTCCAGATATTTTGGTGTATAAGTCCTATGAGCACCCCAAAGAATGAATAAAAGCCAGGAATGGGAATTATAGTCCAGAGCATCTAGAGGACACCATTGGACAAGACACAACAATAAAATAAAAATTAGAAAGCATAATAAGACAGAAGAAAGAATCTTCTTTTTTCTCCTCTTAAAAGGCTGGGGGGGCGGTTTAATCACTCAGCTCCCTTCCAGTAGACTAAAGTTCACTAGAGAGGACTGATCATCCTACAATCCTAAATAGCCTTTTAAACACAAGCAACTTACAAAAGAAATTAGTAATCTATAGCCGGAGTGGTTCAAATTCAGTTCCATAGCATCAAGAAGTCCAAAATTCAGTCTTTTCCACTGTAAGGACTAGGCACAGGATGTAGCAGTCTCTAGCAGGCTATCTAAAATTGATACTTATATAATTTTCGGAGAGTCCAAACGCTGTGGAATGCATATGTAAGTCCCAATTCTTCTTTGCATGTGAGTCAGGTACCCATGAATAGCAATTTTAGATGATTATCTTGCAGAAGAACATATTGTCCAATTTAACACCTAGCAAACTGGTTCCCTAGAATAGCAAATTCCTAGGAACAGACTTGAACAGAAAGTTTTCAACTATCCTGCAAGGTCTGGCAATTCTGAACAAGATTCTTGACATCCAGCATACATTCATACAGGAAAATGATTTAATAGTTGGGAAAAGGAGGGACAAGAACTGTACTTAGAGCAAATGGGACATATCAAACATTTTGTGCAGAATTTGAATTTACTTTGCTGGGGGACTTTTTTTTATTATTCACTGAAGCATACTAAGTCTATTTCCCACTTCTAGTTGGCTAGAATACATCCCATTTTCAACAACTGCAAATGGAAGTGGCTGCAAATGCTGCAAAAAAAATGGTTAAGAAGTCACATACACGGGGGCGGGGGGTGGTGACAGTATGTCAAGTTGCCTACTCTGATTAGGTAGACTTAAGAAGAAGCTGCTTCTTCAGATGCATATGAAAATTGGAGAAAAGTGCATTCTGAATTTTAACAAGCTTTTTAAAAAGCTCGCTATGGGACATATCAAAAAAATGTTTGTGTTTATTCATTTTTATTTGCATGTTACATATCTCAGGCCACATGACACTGTTATACAATTTTAATAGGAGGAAGAGAAGGAGGATTAATAATGCAAGAGGGTTATGCCTGACTGCACGTTTTACCCTGCAAATCACCGTGTCTATTCCAAAGGGTTTGGAGCATTGCAATTACTTGTTAAAAGGTCCTTTGAGCTCTTGTGCCAGCATCACCATTCAATCTTTTATCTCAGCACCTAACTGCTGACCACCAAAATTAAAAGTCATAATTTCACAAGGCTCCTATGCTTAATCTAATAATCATAAATTACACTCGCCATACATTTGATCTTTGTAGATAGGAACAGGAGTACTCTCATAAGTAGCGTTGTATTTCCAAACATGTGCGTAATAAAGAATTACTGCCAAAATGCAATTTAGAGTGCAGGACTACAAATTGCATTCTTGATTTTATTAACTTATGTTCTGATTTTACATGCTAATGGAAATTTTTAAAAAAGAGAGAAAAGTAAACAACAGGACAGGACTAATTGGTAGGTAACATGAAAACATTATTTGAATGAGGAGGTTCTGCTAGAGCAGGCATGTCACACTCACAACGTCGCGTGATGTATTGGGACTTTTCCCCCATTGCCAGCAATGGGGTGGACACGGTTTCGACGTGACGCGTCCGGTGGGCCGACAGTTTGACATGCCTGTGCTAGAGTATTAAAGGATTGCCAATTTTTAAAAGGCTTTGTTGTTATACTATTAAAAACTTCTTGACCACAGGTATAAAGCAAATGAAGCTTTTCTTGGTATTGAAACAAGTGGGAGGAAAAAAAGTCATTTGCCAGCTAGTAAACAACAGGAACAAGGTCATTTTTTGTTTTTAAAGAGAAAGAGAAAATGCAGTGCTAGGATATAATGTACCTTGCAGTACCTTAAAGAACAATGTCACTGAAAATATAATAGTATAAAGAAAACACTGATTCCTGGATTATTTCCTCTTGCTAAAGATTCTATATAGTGTCAGGAAAGAAAAATTGTCAGAAAAAAGAATCCCATTAGTCTAATGCAATAAAACAATACAGGTAGTCCTCAATTTAAGAACACAACTGAGCACAAAATTTATGTTGTTAAGAGAGAAACTTGTTAAGTGAGTTTTGCCCCATTTTACGACTTTTCTTGCCACATTTGTTAAGTGAATCACTGTAATTGTTAAATTAGTAATGATTGTTAAGTGAATCTGGTTTCCCCATTGACTTTACTTATCAGAAGGTTGCAAAAGAGGATCACATGACCTTGGAACACTACAACCGTCATAAATATGAGTCAGTTGACAAGCATCTGAATTTTATTCACGTGACCGTGGGGATGCTGCAACGGTCATAAGTGTGAAAAATGGCCATAAGTCACTTTTTTCAGTGCCATTGTAACTTTGAATGGTCACTAAATGAACTGTTATAAGTCGAGGACTACCTATATTTTAAAAAATGCAAGACATCAATGTCTATCAAATTTCTTCTGGTGCTCAACCTTGGAATTGTAGGCCATTTCATCAAGAGATATACTTAGAAGCTTAGAATGAGGCAAAATACAGAAACCAATCAACCAATCCAACTGCCCCTTTTATCACTGCAGAAGGGGCCCATCTCTTAGAAATTAAGCATATTGTACAATAGTTTGCTGAATATATATAAAGGGAAGCTAGATTGGAGAAACATTAGCTTGGTTTTAAAATTGGAGGAAGAAAGATCAATAGTCTATGTTAAACTGATGGGACTAAGATTAAATCTAAAAGGCCAACCTAATGACAACAGGTAAAACTACCAGCCTTAGAACCGACAGTGAAGATATTGAAGTGGTACCCAACTCCTGCCTTTTAGGATCAATCTTCTACAGGAACAAGCAGTGAAGAACTACACTACAGACCAGTACTTGCTAGAGGAGTGCTTGAAGGCCTTGGAAAATATATTTAAATGCCATGATGTGTCTATATCTACAAAGATCAGAACTGTGCAAGTGATGGTATTCCCTGTGACACTCCATAGAAGCAAAAGTTGGACTTGGAAGAAGCAGGATAGAATACGGAAAAGGCTAATGCTGGGAAAGGGGAAGAAAAGAAAAGAGGACATCTAGGAGCAAGGTGGATGGAATCAGTTACACTGGCATTGAGTTCACTGTTGAAAGTCTTGAAGGACCAGGTTAGGAACAGATTGTCATGAGTAAAATCTATTTCTGTTGTCCCTAAGAGTCAACACCAACTTGATGGCACATAATCAATCAGTCAATTAACCTTGCTAAAGAGCCCTTTTCCCCTTTTTGTTCTCCAAGAGAGAACATACCATTTATAGCAGATGAAATAGCTAGACTCATCTTTATAGCATTAGCAGTGACTAAGCCATGCATAAAATTGTCTGGCATTTGTCTTCTGCTGTATATAATATTCCTATTTCAGCACTATACTCTGTGCATCTGATGAACCAAATAACAGTCCACAAAGATTGTGCAGTAATAATTCCTGAAGTTATCAAAACTTTTTTTCCTCCACCCTAAGAGTTCTTTCAATGTCTCTAGGACATCTGAGAAAACTGCTTTCTTAATTTCCAGACTGAAGTCTGAAAAGTATTTGTTTGAAACCAATTGATATATTGGACCATGATTTTTTTGGGAATGCCAATAAACAATTTTTTAAGGAGCAAGTGTTAGATCAGACATGTCCAGTCCGCTGCCCACAGGCAATATGCAGCCCTGGACTGCTAGTAATGCGAGCCCACAAGACAATAAAATTTAAAAAATAAAAACAAATGATATTTATATGCATTAATTATATATTTTATATGCAACCCAAGACAATTCCTCTTCACTCAGTATGGCCCAGGCAAGCCAAAAGGTTGGACAACCAGGTGTTAGAAGCGGCTAGATTATATGTTGTTTCTTTTGTGAGTTTCAACAGACTAGGTATAACATTCTACAAGTGCACTTTTAATATGCAATTGATATATAGAGGTTTCAAAAACTAAAGACTTTTTTAAACCCAAACTGAAAGAAAATATGGGATTTTCATATTTTATGCATCTCTTGCTGTTTTTTTTAAAAAAAATCTGCACTTTCATGATTGTTCCCATTTTTCAGCCTGGTTTGCACTTGTGACCTACAAACGACTTGTCCCTGTTTACCTTTTCAATAGGAGATGCTTCTGGAGGGGGAGGGGAAAAATAGGCACAAGATAATACTTCTGTGTTGTATCAGACCATCGTTTGCACTCATGATTTTATCCCTGCTGGCATTCCCTGTTCTTTAAAATTAATGAAATCGCAGGAGCCCTGCTTTCCTTTGGAGATCTTTGGAGATTGTAAAGTTCCTCCTTGGTAACGTTTTAAAGCATTTCTACTCAAAAGAAGGTTCCAGAGTGACGAATGGAGTGGCCTTTCTTGCAAAGAGGCAACCAAAGTGCAATTCTTGGTGTCGTGTCTCCGCCCCGACTCCTTAAACAGCCGTTTGCTTTAATCTCACTTCACTCTTACCTTTCCGACTCCCTACTTGCATTCAGGCAAGAAGCATCAGATGAGGACCAGAGCACAGCCTTGGTCGGTGCAGACACGTGTTTCCTCCAGCACTTCCTCTCTCTTGCCCGTCGCAGCCGGTGACGTTTCTCCTCCCCTCCCTCGCCTTTGCTTAGCCGGTCGTGAATGGGATGAAGCTCTTCCCCGTTTCCAGCTTGATCGGAACGATTTTGCTTCCTTTTGCGGTGATGCAATTCGCGTCCTGCCTCCTCTGTCCCTGGCTTTCCATTAGTTGTGTGGTGCAATCGCTGCATCACTGACTGGTATTTGTTGTTGCCGTTTTAAATAGGAGTCGCAAATTCACTCTTATACGAGCGTCTCCTTGTCGGATTTAGGCTACAGCTCCATCCCCGCTTATGATCTGAGAGTAAACCCTTTTGAATTGAAAGGGTTTTATTTCTGAGTAGAGGAGTGCTAATAAAATCTGTTCCTTTCGTGAATACATTGCGAACCACGGTATTATTTTACAAGATCAGATCTGGCAAGGAAGACTTGTATTCGTTAAAGCTGGCACTTCATTTCCCCTTTACCTTCACTGTAATGCGATTACAGAATTAATCTGTGACATATGTTCCTGGTTTTGACATTACTAATATTCCTATACCTACTTAATCTGTGTGCCCATACTTATCAAGCTGTTATATAGTTATTGTTTCACATTTTCAAAAATGTGATCTAGAAATATTTTTAAAGGAAGCAGGTACTTTAAAGAAATAACTATTGAGGAGTGAGAGGAAACGCTGTGGGCCTTACTTAAATATAAATTTCCATAAGCTCAAATAACATGTCTTACAGAATGCAGAAGATCTACCCATCACTTCCTTATTATGTGGCCCATGACTGAAACTGTTGCCTACCCAATATTTATATACATTTTAAATCAGATGTGTTTCCTTGAAAATACAATGTCCTACTTTCCTCAATGAGATGTGCTGTCTGATATTATTACTGTAAATCTTGGGGGGGGGGGGTTTCAAATGGCTTACCTGTATTGCTTAGATATAATTCTCGCAGCACCCCTGTAAGGTAAATGTCTATGGTCTCCTCCATATTGCCCTCTGTGTTGCTGAGATGAGGACTGAAATGAAGAGAAAGCTGATTTTTGTAAGTGGGAAATCACTGGATTCATGAGGTTATCATGTCAGCTTAGTAGGTACAGTGTAGAATTTCAGTTTGAATTTCTCTACAATCCCAGTTCCCTAGCAATGTGTGTAGGACTGCAGCCTTGAGTCATGATTGAGGAACAAGCTGAACAAGCTCCAGAAAGAATAAAGGGGCGGGCATGACTCTGATGTATACTTTATATGGTAGTGAATTCTTTTTTGTTAGTGTATGGGGTTTGCCAAGAAATAGCTCTGAAGCATTGTAAAATTGCTGTTCACAGAGCAAGTTTACACATAATGTAAACAAAATTAACATGACAAACATGAGAGCAGCTTTGTAAATGCAAATTATTACTTTGCTCTTATAATGTTGCTCTATGTTTTTTCAGCCTCTTAGAGAAAGCTGAATCCTGGCTTTACGGTTGGGAAATATTTTGAAGAATAGCTCCTAGTTCACCAGCAATTCAGTGCAAGATTCTGCACATACTTTCTCTTTTTCTAAAAAGAGATTTTGTTGTTGGGATTGAAGCCAACAACAGTCTGATAAAAAAACAGTCTTTATCCTTCTAAAACCGATTCCTGCCATCTGATTTATGCAGAATATGTAGACGAACCTTTCTCTGTCTTCTGATTGCCACAGATCCCATTATCTGTGTGAAAAATAACTTCTTTCATCTTCAAAGCCATTGCATTTTATTGAAGAAATTACAAAGGCCAAGAAGCACTGACAGTGAACCCCCTTTAAAAAACAACAACAATGCATTTTATTGAAGAAATTACAGAGGCCAAGAAGCACTGACAGTGAACCCCCTTTAAAAAAAACAACAACTCCAAACATTCAGGGAAAATTACAACATATTTTTCTTACAAGAGCTTTAATATGCTCATAATAAAAGAAAGCATCCTGACAAAAAACTCATAATAAGCTCAGATATTACAGTGTTAACGTGATTGCAGCATACTCAGCTTTCATCAGCTTTAGGCAGAATTTTGCTTACAAATAAATAAGAGGGTGGCAGCCTGAGAATTAAATCTTATCTATTTAATTTAGTTATGTGCTGTATTGTTATACTGTCATATTTCTCAAGGACTCTCAGTGTACAATTAAATCCAACCCTTAAAATAACTCAAGAAAATCCATCTAATAAACCATATAAAATAATATAGGTGAATAGTGTATAATTTTATTGGTCATCTGTGATTTCTTAGTGGCTCTTTTTGTGGTTTGGAGATGATGGTTGATAATGTCTTCATTTCCCAGGTCTAATTTAACAACTTTATAAACAGAAATTTTATCCTTACCTATAGAAGGGAATTGCCATGATGAAAATTGAATTTTTGCTATTGAATTATGGCCCATTGTATTACTGTTAAGGAAAAGAGAACCTTTAGAGACAAGAGTTTAGCACCCTATTCAAGAGTATAAGCTATCACAGATCTAGGATATTAATAAGGCTGATAAGTTTCCAATTGCTCTTTGTAGCATTGTGGTAGCCCTTCATTGTTCTGTATCTTTTGTGTGATTACGACTTTTTCTGATTTTTTTTTTTTTTGCATATGACACCTATAGGAGTTAGTTGAAAAGTTGGCAATGCCTGTCAATATGTAGGGTTTTTTTTTAATTAAATCAGTGTCTGTGATTTCACAGCATCCTGACATGTGGATATGAATCAGATGCTTTCCCTGTTACTTTCCCCTTTCTGCCAGAAAAAACTCCACTTGCTAAAATAACTTCAGAAAGTTTCACTACTAAATGCACCTACTAAAGAACAAATGCATGAAAAAAACTGATAAAAAGTTGACCTCTTAAGCTTTGCTAATAATTCTTTTAAAGATAAGCTGTATTATCAACTATCAGGAAAATGATCAAATTTAAATCATTTTTCTATTTTTGTATACAAAATAGCTATTTTTGCTACTTTTGTACAGGAAATTTTGTATTTCTTGATCTTAGAAATATAACTTCAGCATGATTGCCCAACACAGGCAACTCTCCTGGTGTAACTGAACCCATAGCTCCTAACAATTCCACCCAGCATGGCTAATAATGAGGGATGCTGGGAAGTTCGTCAACATCTGAAGACAAATTGTGCATTCATGTGACACAATTAAATGTGTTGGGTTCATATCCCCAAAGCTGTGGCATTCTTTCTGTGCAGAGACATGTCCTAAATCCATTAACATTCAGAGCAATATTGGATAGACTGTTAGATTCTCTTGCAACATTTCAGAAATGTAAACTTCTTTTCCCATAACACTTTGTAGCATTTATAATTAAGCCACTGGGGAAGCTCCTAGCATGGCCCTGGAGTGAATTCTCTTCTGCTTCCCTGATCTACATCCTGGAAATCTTTGCAGTAATTACTGATGAAGCCTCGGTATTTGCTATTTGCTTTATGTTGGACCTCTCTGCTTAGTAACTCCACAAGGTGTTTAAAAACCTAGCCATGGTAGTATGTAATGCTTACCGCCTCCTCCGGAGCTGTTGCTTACAAATTTCAGAGATGGTGAGATGGAAGTATCATTTCTCAGCAAACTCTCCAAATATAGTGGTCTGCATCACACTGTGCTTGAAGCAAAGAACAACAGTGATAATTAATCCACAGGGGAAACTGGGATGGGCTGATGTAAGAGAAAGTCGGCAGATCCTTATATCTGTTCATGATCTCAAGGACATTGCAAAGCTGCCAGTTTGCATTCACAAGGGTGCCATTAGAACATTACTCTGGGAACTCGGAGTCGAGTCTCCATTTGGCAATACTGTATGAGTGACACAGCCTCACCAATCAACTTACCTACTGTATCTAAAAAGTGCTAGTATCAAATTATTCTAGACAGACTCTAAAATCACTTAACAGCACATTGGATGGTAGCTAAAGTTTAGTATATTTAAAATGCTGGTATGTGCATGCAATGTCAAAAGCTTAGATCTAAGGGGTACTATATTTGATAGCTGTAAGGCAGACTTTAAATGAGACATCACTTTTATTTGCTAATAATTGACTTCCCAAATTCTGACTGTTGGAAGCTTGCCTCTTTTATTTTTTCCTCCAGTCATCTTAATTTTTTTTCCTGTATTTTATGGAGCAGAGTAGAAGGCTTGAATTTAAATAATTGCTGTAGCTTTCTTCACACAATAGTTTACATCTGAGGATCCTTTTAATTTTTTCCCAGCCATTTATATCCTAAATGAACAGGAAGATTATATATTTTCCTCTCTTGCAATTTAAATTTAAAAAAAGAGATGGTAACTCTGCTATTAGAGAGAGAGGAGGTTTTAGGAGAATGAGTTGACTCTGTGGTTAACACAGCCATCAAATCCATCAATTTTAAGTTAAACCATGGCTAAATATGCTATGCAAACTCAGCTACTACCTATTTTCTTTGAAGCCGCATTCGAATGTCCATTTAAAGAAGAAAAAATATTTTTCTGGGGAAAAAGATGTGGTAGGGAGGTAGCCAGGGTTTAGTTCCTCATTTCTATTAAAATCAGTGCTTTTTTTCTAAAAAAAAAAAAAGTTGCCAGAACTCACACACATCATACAACCCGCCTTGCCTACCCTACAAGGTTCCATCCAAAAAAGGTGCTGGAACTCCGTTCTGGGCGTTCTATGAGAAAAAAAGCCCTGATTACAATTCTCATTCCACACTAGGTTACAGTAGAGTTAGTTTGCTTTGATCTTGCCTTTCATGACTCCAATCAGCTGCAGATGATTTAATAAATCATGGTTCAGCCAATACTGTCTAATAAGATGTGGAATTTTGCTTGCCACCAACCTTGGTTTGGACAACATATTATGATCCAAGGTTACTAAATCATTCACTTACCTGGGTTCATACTATACACCAATCCATTAATACATTGCCAAGATTATTACAAAACACTCAGCCATAGTTTAACAAACTTGAATTTATCTAGCAGGTTGTGTGAACCTTATGTCAT